GTTGAAGAGTGGCCCATTCTGAAGCAGGTCCGTGGTGAAGTGTCCCTCTTGAGGGCAGTGGGGGAAGGCTGTACGAGCAGAGTCGGTGAGAATGAGGGCCCACGTCCCTGGTGGGGGCAGGAACAGCTGTGTGGGCCTCGCAGAGCAGTGGGCAGTCCCTGGGCCGCCTTTTGTAGGCCCCGCTGTAACTGCTCTGCTCTGAGCATGTGTGAGCATGCATGTGCATGTGGGATGTGAGCATGTGTGCATGTGTGCGTGTAAGAAGTTCCTATGTGCAGGGAAGAGGAAATGAAAGCGTGTGTTTGCAGGTCGGGCTGCTGTGTCTGCCTGTGTGTAATGTGTGTGCCTGTGTGTAGTGTGTGTGTGTCCATGTCTGCCTGTGTGTAATGTGTCTGCCTGTGTGCAGTGTGTGTGTCCATGTCTGCCTGTGTGTAGTGTCTGCCTGTGTGTAGTGTGTGTGTCCATGTCTGCCTGTGTGTAGTGTGTGTGCCTGTGTGCAGTGTGTGTGTCCATGTCTGCCTGTGTGTAGTGTCTGTGTCTGCCTGTGTGCAGTGTGTCCCCGAGTCTGCCTGTAGTGTGTGTAGTGTGTGTTTATCCATGTTTGCCTGTGTTGTGTGTGTGTATCTGCCTGCCTGTGTGTAGTGTGTGTCCGTGTCTGCCTGCATGTATCCATAGCCTGTCTGTGTGTGTCTGACCCTCTGTGGGAGTTGTTATCTCCCTGTTGGGGCTGAACTCCCCTGGGGATGGCAGGCCCTGGAGCCAAGCCCTCCGGTGTGCGGGCCTCTCGGGAGGCTCTGATGGCCTAACGCTTTCATCAGGGCTGCGGGGCCACAGCTGTGTGGGCCCCACTAGGGACCTTGTCTTGGTGAGAGACAGACATCACTGCCTAAAGACAGAATGCTGGGGTCTGGCGCGGTAGCCTAGTGGCTAAAGTCCTTGTGTTGCACACACCGGGATCCCATATGGGTGCCGGTTCTAATCCCTGCAGCCCCGCTTCCCATCCAGCTCCCTGCTTGTGGCCTGGGAAAACAGTTGAGGACGGCCCAAAGCCTTGGGACCCTGCACCCGTGTGGGAAACCCAGAGGAGGCTCTGGGCTTCTTGCTTCGGATTGGCGCAGCTCCGACCATTGGGGCCACTTGGAGTGAAATAGCAGACGGAAGATCTTTTTGTGTCTCCTTCGACTTAACTGTAAAAATATCTGACTTACCAATAAAAGTGAATAAATCTTTATAAAAAGAAAAAGGATGCTGATGTGGGTGAGCTGCTGGGTGGGGGAAGGGAGGGGCTTGAATGAACTTGCAGTTCTGAGCTGGACTTGGTGGTTTAGCCGTCCGTCTGCGCCGGTGATTGCCCGGAGCCGCTGGGCCTGCGCTGTTAGCCCTCTGCCTGGAACGCTGGCCTGTGCTCAGCAGCTGCATGAGGGTTTCTGCTTGCGGGGGGCTCTGGTCTGGGGGTGGGGGGCTTCTAGGCGGCTTGGACTTGGGGGCTGGCGTGGCCAGCTCCCGGCATCATGAGAATGTTCCAGGCCTGTGGTCCATCCCTTGCAGGGTGGGTGATTCTGTGGGGGTGGAGCTCACCAGAATGCCGAGTTGGTCCCTGGCATGAAACCAATTCAAAGTAGAATTACATGCATTGCACCGCGTGGCTGTGGAGCTGCGCAGAGCAGCTGCGAGTGGGAGGCGGAAGTGGATCCGGTGACCCACTCTGAAGGGACTAGGGGATGGGGTGGCTCGCCTGCCGCAGGTCGCGATAGTGGGGGGCTTCTGCCTCCAGCTCTAGCCCGTCTCTGCTTCTTGGGGGATTCGAAGCTTTGAGGTCTGCTGTGCCCTAGGAGCCGCAGCCTGAGGCATTAGGCCTGTGACTCTGGATCCCCAGTCAGGAGCTCCTGGGACAGAGGAGCCACCTGTGTCGGGGGTGGAACCTCGGAGCCCTGTCGCTCATGCAGCTGCACCAATCACCAAGCTTACATCCGTGCCCTAAGCGTGTTTAAAACAAATTACAGATTTCCAGGCCCCTGCCCGAGTCCCCCGAGGCCTTGTCTCAGGGCCTAGACCAGAAACGTGCACTTACACGAGCTGTCCAGGCACGAGAGCCATGCGACCCCGACTCCTTGAGTTGCCAGGAGCGATGGGCGTGTCTCCCCTTGGTGGGCTGCGACCCCAGGCCTTCAGAGGAAATGAAGTGGGGCACAGTGGAGTGGTCAGGCCCGGCTTCCACCTGCTCCTTCAGCAAGACAAAGGCTCTGACTTGGTCCCTTTGCGGGGCCACAGTGACGCCCTCTCTGGGGACCTCCCCCGGCTCTGGGCCCAGCCTGCCTGGGAGTCAGCAGGGGCTCGGCCTTCCCGTCTCCCCTCAGCCGCTATGGTCCTTCCAGTCTGCCCTCCCTTCTCCTTCCAGTGGCGTTTCTCAAAGATCCTGGGGACTCGGCTGCCTGGACACCCAGCCGGGGGACTTCCTCCTGCCAGTGGCTGAGGTCCCAGGAGTCTGAGGTGCCACTCCCGGGCCATGCAACCTGTAGCACCACTTCTTGACTGCGTGTGTTGGGGAAGGGCACGCAGCTCTGTGTGCGCCTGGCGTGTGAGAAGGTTGCAGTGTAGACAGAGGCAACATAGGCTGGCCTGGATCGGAACGGCCCACTGAGTACCAGACTCTTTTGGTGCCCCCTGCTGAGCCACGTTCAGTCCTGGCTGTTGGCAATGAGCGCGGCCAGGCTTCCGTCCTAGCTCACTGGGAGTGGAGCAGGTGCAGGGCCGAGTTTTGCTAAGATGAGATACTGCCTTTTCCAGTCCATCTATGGAGAGGCTTAAGTACAGGTGTGGGAGGCCCAGAGAGACCCTGACCCCTGCAGGAACGCAGGCCACGGCCATCTGGTGGCTGCCCGTGGATGGGAAGTGGGCTGGGCATTGACACTTCACAACCCATCCAACCGACTCAGCTCCAGTTGCATGCCTTGAGCTTGTTAAAGCAGGTGGGAGTGCCCTGCCCTGATACGCTGTGATTCAGCAGGTGCCAGGCGGCTCCAGGAATCTTGGGCAGACCGGCTCCCAGGCTGGCCAGGGTGCTGGGTGCGCCCTCCGCAGGGCCCAGTGCTGAGACAGCTCAGCTGCCAAGGATGGCAGGCACTCCAGGCTGCAGTGTGGGAGGGAGATGCACAGAAGGTGTACCCTGGGGCGGGGGAAGCCAGGTGGCTCGAGATGTGGGAGGAGAGTGAGAGAGACAGCAGCTGCCAGGGCAGGAAAAGATGCACAGTGTCCGTGGGGGTCCTTGCTGCCCCTGGAAGCTGCTCTGGGGTGCTATGCTTGTTCCTGGTTGGAGCTAGGGTGCTGTTAGCCATCTGCCTCCTGCACCTCCTGGGAGCTGCACTCATTCATCTCTCACGAGGTGGTAGTCCTCTGCTAGGAACAGGTGCAAGCAGGGACCAGGCGTCATCAGCAACCCCTGAGCCGGCCCATCTAGGCAGGCAGCAGCAACAGGGCTCCGGAGGGTGGGGAAGCCTTGAACTTGAACCTGTGCCCACTTGGGAGACCTGGAGAGTCTTCCTAGAAGTAAAATCCGAGGTGGTGACCGACACACACTTGAGGGAGTGGGGAAGACAGTTCCAGACACAGGATCGGGCCCGTTGGAAGCAGGAAATGTGGAGGCCCTGGACAGCAGGGTCCCCAGGAGGCCTTGATGGGAGCTGGAAGCAGGTCTAGGGGCTCCAGTATTATGTGCAGTGGGCGAGGAGTCCTGCCCCCACAGCCTGGTTCTCGGCTCTGGACCTGCCCCAGGGCTGGCTGCCTTGAACACCGGGCTGAGCAGGCCTGCTTCCTGCTGAGCCCAGGCGGACACCAGATATGCTCATGGCCCCTGACGTCCGTCCCTCCCAGGTCCCCGTCCCTCCTGGAGGCCGTCAGTGTTCAGGTGCATTGGCCTCTGGGTACGTTCCGTGGTTCTCTGGGGGTGGGCTGCTGCCCTGGGGCTGGGGAGACTGAGGGTCCCAGGGACTTAGAAGGCCCAGGCCGCTGCTGCCTCCCGAGGCAGTGATAGACCATGAAGTTGCTGTGTTGCTCCTCTGGGCAGGTGGGCAAGACCAGCGTGTGACTTTGAGTCTGCAGTGCCACCCTGGCGCCCACCCTCAGCCACAAGCAGGTGCCCGTCCTGGGATCCTCTGAGCCCCCTCCTGGGAAGGATACCCCCCTTGCCCACCTCAGGTGGGCACAGATTCCCTGGACTCTGATCCTAAGCTGGCCCCCTGTTTGGGGCGCGAGGCACGGGTTCCAGTGAGAGCAATGCCATCTCCTGAGACACCAGAGTCCTGGGACCCTTTGCTGCTCAGGGAGGGGTGGGGCAGCTCAGGGAGGGGAGCCTTAGGACTGCGGCTGTCTGCGCGACTCCACCCCTCGGTTCACCCAGGACTCACCTAGCAGGTGCAGTGGGGTGTGGCCTGGAGGAAGCCCTGGGACTACAGGACAGGGACCCTGGAGGTTTGGGGCTCCAGGGAGGCGAGGTGTGGGAAGGGGCGCTCCCCAGCCCCTGGTCTTCTCAGGTGAGAAAGACAGTAGGAATCCTGAGCAAGGTTTTGGCAGAATGGTGTTATTCTCCAAGAAAAGCTTTTTTTTTTTTTCTTTTTGTTTGGATTTTTCTTTTGAATTCGTGTGTTATATGTATCATTAAAACATGAGGCGGGTAGAATTTGCAAGCAGCCAACTCAGGTGTGTTATGTGGGGATTCCAGAGCTGGGGGAGGGGGAGGTGAGGCACATTTGCATATGTAAATGAGAAGCATCAGGACCGCTCCTCAGTCGTGGGGTATTTGTAAACTTGAGGGTGGGTGCTGAGGGCGCGGCCTGCCCCCGTCCTTGGGGAGGGAGCGCGAGTGGGGCTGAGCCCTGCCTTCCCACCTCCCTGCGCTGGAGGCAGGTGGGTGCTGGCAGGGCGGGGAACATGGGCGTGGCTTGTGCAGCTCCCAGAGGGCAGGCTGCTCAAATCTAAGTACCCTCTGGTCTTCTGTCCCCTAGATCCACTTTCCAGACGTGGAGCGGGTCGAGTGGGCCAACAAGGTAAGGCTGGGTGCCGGGTCTGGGGGAGCGGGCCTCGGGCTGGACGCAGCTTTCCCTCACCTCCAGCGGGGGCCCAGCAGCCCTGTGCGCCCTGTGGCCCCGGTGTCCAGGCCTGTCCCTGCCCAGAGGAGACGGGCATGGCTGCTCTGCTGCCAAGGTGGCAGCCGCTCCCTTCACAGAATGACTTTCTTGAGAACAATTTGTGGGAAGTTGTAACTGAACGTGTCACTACGGCAGAAACCTTGGGAAGTGCAGAAAGTGGGCGAGCACAAGTGTGATTGCTGGGGAGAGGAAGGCACCAGTCAGACCCCAGCTCTCGGGCACCGCCCCATGCCAGCCTACGTCCTGCCAACTGAGCTCCCTGCTTCATGCTTCCAAGCTGACTTCCTCATCCAGGAAGAGGGGCGTGCCTGTGGTCCTGCCCAGGAATCACTGTTAGGGGTGTGGCCAGATCAGGGAGCCTCAACCCCCCAGGCTGGGGGATTGCTCATGGGTGACCCCAGATCTGCCTGTCCCCTGTTGGCACCGCTCAAGAGCCAGCCAGAATTCTATGCCTGCCTAATGTGTATACGTCTGCCCCCTGAAGCGCCCCTTCCCCCTCCCTCGCCCGACCGGGTCCAGACACAGAGCCTGTAGCAGGGAGGGCTTGGATTAGCTGTGAGAAAGGACTTCCAAGTGGTTGCTGACCGTGTTAGCGGAAGCGCCAATGCCAAGTACATCAGCTGCTGGGTGACATCTGTAGGAAACAGGTTGCTGTTTGAGGAAGATTGGCCCAGGGACGCGGGACAAGCCCTGTCGGTGTGCGCCCCGTGCTCAGGAGCCCACACCCACGGGGGGCAGGACAAGGTGGACAGCCAGGAGGACCAGCCCTTTGTCCTGACACCTGCCGTTTGTAGGGGCCTCTGAGAGAGATCAGGACAGCACATCCTGTCCAGGTGGCTTTAGAAGGGGACGCGAGTGGGACCTGGCCATACCTGAGCACGAGTCGTGGAGGGCATGTCCTTGAGGAAGAGAAGCCTTCGTCCCGAGCAGAGCCTGTCTGTGGGCTAGCCCTCCCCCCACGCACCGGCCCACTCCCACCTGCCATCACGGTGGTCCTCCCCCAGGCCTGCGCTTGGTCCTCAGCCTCCCGCCCAGAGTCCCTCTGCTGCAGAAATCGGCCGAGGGCTGCCTTTTCCTGCGTGGGAGTAGATGCACAGGAAAATGTTGCATGTTCTTGGCTGGCCATGTTTCCCCAGAAAGCTCTGTCACCTTCGGGGTAGAAGAGCGAGAGCCAGGTCGCACACTCACCAGGTGTTGCCCCGAGGAGCAGGCACGCCAGGTGCTCCAGATCCTGGTGACTGAGGGGGGCTGGGGAGCCCTTGCCATCGTCAGCAGCGGATGGGTGGACGGATGGCTAGGTAGAGGCTGGGTACGGCAGCAGGCATGTGGGACCCCCACTCTGGGGGCCGAGTGTCAGGAGCCTCTTGCGCCCCCCAGGTCATCGCCCAGATCTGGCCGTACCTCAGCATGATCATGGAGAACAAGTTCCGTGAGAAACTGGAGCCCAAAATCCGCGAGAAGAGTGCCCACCTGCGCACCTTTGCTTTCACCAAGCTCTACTTCGGACAGAAGGTCAGCCTGCCCGGAAGTCCCCCTCTGGGACCCCCTGCACAAGCCAGCCCCTGCCCCAGGCCCAGCTGCGCCATCCCGCCTGGGCGAGGAGGAACAGACGGCAGGGCTGGAAATGGTGCTGCTTGCATAAGCAGGGTTTGGCAGGCAGGGCCAGAGGGCAGCCAGACGGACTGGACAGGTGGCTGTCACCACAGGCGTCCCCAGGGTGGCTGTGTTCATGGTAGGGCTGGCCGGTGGTTTGTGATGGTCGTTGTCCGGCCATGTGTCCTGGACAAGCCCAGCAAAGAAGTGTGTGCAGCAGCTCTCGGGTGCTGTCCCTGACGGTAGACGGAGCTCCTGCCTCTCTCGGTCCCGCTCCTGTCCCCAAGCACCCAGGCTAGGATTCCTGTCGTCATCCCCACGGGTCCTGGCCACGCGCCTGTGGCCCACTGAGCCAGAGCCCCTGGCGCCCAGGCTGCCCTGGAGCCAGCCGAGGTTGGCGTGTTAGCTGACCCAGCAGGGCTGCCCCAGGCCTGCCCGCCACTGCCTGCACCCTGTGGGTGCTGGCTCATGGCACCGAGCCCCGGGCAGGACTGGCTTCTCGCAGGGGCTGTGGATTTAGGTGCTGGTGTCTGCTCTCACTCCTATGTAGTTTACTGAGCATGTGTCAGGGGAGGCCACGCTGCGGCCTCTGGGGGGGCGCCTGTGGGCTGGCGCACGGCAGCGCGGGATGTCCACAGTAGAAGGCTTGGGGCCCGTGGTAGTCAGGGAAGACCTCCAGGAGGAGGTACCAGAAATCACAGCCAACCTGAGCCTCTGACGGTGGGAGGACCGTCGGGGTGACCCACAGGCGCTGTGCTCACCTGAGGGCACCCCAGTGCTGTGACCCCTGCCCTGGCCCTGCTCTGCGCTCCCTCCTGCACCACGCCCTTCTTGGCCCAGCCCTGCTTTCACAGCCACTGGGCTTCTAGATGCCTCCATTTGCCGAGTCTGTGCCGCCGTGACGTGACCTCTCTGAGCTCCATGGACCCACTTCACTAGGTGGTTCTGTGTCAGTGGAGCTGGCTGGAGGCCCGTTTGCAGCTGGGCACCCCTCTAAGTGGCCTGAACAGCCTTGGCCAGGGCCCGTCCCTGCAGGCGATGGTGGCCTGGGGCCAGCTGAGCTGGGCCCATGTTGGGTAGCCCACCTCTCGCCCCTGCAGCCCTGGCCATGGGGGTGTCATGGCAGTTTCAGGCTATGGTGAAGCCTGGCGCTGTGCCAGCTGAGAATGCCATGTGAACATGAAGGTGGCTTGGAGAGGGAGGGCCGGGCACTGCGGGGGCAGCTGGCAAAAGGCCCTGCGGGCGCTGAGCAGCCCCATGGCGCTCTCCCTGGCTCCTCGCATGGCGCAGCACACTGTGGTCCCACCAGGCTGGGGAGGAGTGTGGAGGGTGGGGGGCTCACTCCTCCCTGGGGACTGCCCGCCTCTGGGCCTTTTCTTTGCGTGCAGGAAGTGGCAGCGCTTGTCCGTGTCACTGCCACTCACTGGGGCACTTACCCCCTGCCATCTTCCTCTCAGCTTTCCTCCCTCCCTCCCTCTCTTTCCTCTTCTTTTTTTTTTTTTTTTTTTTTTTTAAAGATTTATTTTTATTATTTTCTCATTGGAAAGGCGGATATACAGAGAGGAGAGACAGAGAGGAAGGTCTTCCGTCCGATGATTCACTCCCCAAGTGAGCGCAACGGCCGATGCTATGCCGATCCGAAGCCAGGAGCCTCTTCCGGGTCTCCCACGCGGGTGCAGGGTCCCAAAGCTTTGGGCCGTCCTCTGCTGCTTTCCCGGGCCACAGGCAGGGAGCTGGAAGGGAAGCGGGGCTGCCGGGATTAGAACCGGCGCCCATATGGGATCCCGGGAGTGCAAGGTGAGGACCTTAACCACTTGCGCCACCGCGCCGGGCCCTCTTTCCTCTTCTTTTAAAGATTTATCTTTATTGAGAAGGCAGAGGTATAGAGAGAATAAAAGACAGATTTTATATCTGCTGGTTCACTTTCCAAATACGCTCATTGTCCGGGGCTTCTCCTAGGCCTCCCACACGGGCGCTGGGGCCCAAGCACTGGAACATTCTCCACCGCTTTCTCGGGCCGTAAAGCAAAGGAGCTGGATTGGAAGTGGAGCAGCCGGGCTGTACCCCTGTGGGATGCTGGGGGTGCAGCTTGGCCCACTATGCCACAGCACAAGTGCTCCACTCCTCTCCGCACCCACCCCGGGCGGGTCCTGGTTCAGACACCGCTTTTCTCCAGAATGCTTGTCCCCACCGCCGATGCCCGGGTGTCCTGCAGTCCAGGAGCCCAGGAGGCAGTGTGGGCCACGCCTCGCTGTGCTTCCACTTCTGTCCACTGTGCCGGGCTGAGCCCACGTGGGTGCCCTCTGTGACCTTGGCAAAGAGCAGGATAGCAGAAGGGGAGGCAGGGCCACGGAAGCCGTGTCAGGCCGGGAGTGGATTCCAAGCTTGTGGTCCCAGACTGAGCCAGGGCGGGCGGCCATCCCTGCTGACTGAGCCCTGCTCTGTTGCAGTGCCCCAGGGTCAACGGCGTCAAAGCTCACGCGAACAGATGCAACCGGAGACAGGTGACCCTGGACCTGCAGATCTGGTGAGCGCTCCTGCCCGGGCGGCCGGATGTGGGCTTGCAGAATGCAGCTGTAGAGACCAGCTCAGCCTCTCAATGGGTGTGCTGCAGGCTGGGGCATGAAGGCCTTGCTCACAGGAAGGGAGGGCTGGCAGGGTCCCCGCCCCAGGCCTGGCTTCTCGCATCCATGGAATATTCTAGAAGGTCACCTGCAGGGTCAGTCAGGCTGCCCCAGAGAGGTTGTGGCCAGAGGGAGCAGGTGTGAGAGGAGGGCATGGGAGGCCCAGTGAGCTCCAAAGCAGGAAGAAGGGAGGCTCAATCCAGGAAGTCTTCCTGGAGGTGGCAATTTGATGTTGCCGTTCCTTTCCAGTGTCTCATATTTCCTGTCATTAGTCCAGATGCCAGTAGTGAGAGCACCTGAGGAAGACAGGAACCAGTTCTGGGGGCACCCTTCCCTGTTGGGGGGGCTGGTTTTGAGTGTTTCGGGGTAATGAGAAGCTACCAGGGGCACCTGACCCCCGAGGTTGTGCCAGGAGAACAGCTGCAGTGTGCTGAGCTCGCCTGGCCCCCCCTCAGCCCGAGCGGCCTCAGGTTCCTGGCTGCCCCTCCTGCCTCCCAGCCCCTCTCAGGGCGCTGAGCCTCCACCCCAGCTCCCATGCCATGCTGCCTGTGCCCATCGCCACCACCCGCAGCAGCACCAGGAACCGGGCTGGAAGTGAGGCTGAGGGCTGAGTCCTCATGGGGAGGTGGGCGCAGCCCACGGACGGGCGGGGCGCAGCCAGGGCAGAGGCAGGCGGGGTGCTCAGACACCTGTCTCCTCCTGGGCGGGTGTGGGTCAAGACGGTGCCCTCATGGCTCAGGTGACCTGCCTGAACTCACTTGGGAGCTGGGAGGCTGCACCCCAGGGTGCAGGTCCGGACTGAGCCGAGAAATGCTGAGACCCTAAGGGAGGCTCTGAGCTGACCTTGGTAACCAGCTAATCCAGCCTGGGCTGTGTGGCTTTGGGCGTTTCTTGACCTCTCTGAGCAAGTGGACCTGCCCATCTCCTCCCCCTCAGCTACATCGGGGACTGTGAGATCAGCGTGGAGCTGCAGAAGATTCACGCTGGCGTGAGCGGGATCCAGGTGGGCGAGGACACCTGAGGGGCAGGAATCCTGAGCGGGACCCTGTGGGGAGGTCAGCAGGCCACAGCAGCGGCCTACCGACTTGCATGTCTGAGGTCTCACACCCAGGAAGTGTTGGCTGGCCTCCAGCCTTGCCCCCCGGGAGGCCTGGGCTGGCAGGGGAAGTGAGAGGTGGGGACGAGGGTGCTGGAGGACTGAGGCTTGGAAGCTGAGGGGGACCCAGGAGGTGGAGCTGAGGTGGACCCAGGAGCAAGCTGACTGCAGGCTGAAAGTCACCTCCAGGTCCCATGGCCCTGGCTGGTGAGGCATGGCCCCTGGTGGAAGCCTGCCCTCAGCAGCTGGGCTACATGCTGCTGCAAGTGGGGCCTTCACTTTGACCACCAGGGACCTGGGGCAGGACCCTTGTATTTAAGGGTGGGTGAGAGAGGAGGCGAGGGGTCTCACGGTTGCCCCCGTGCAGCTGCAGGGCACCCTGCGAGTCATCCTGGAGCCCCTCCTGGTGGACAAGCCCTTCGTGGGAGCCGTGACCTTCTTCTTCCTGCACAAGCCGGTGCGTCCTGGTGGCTCGGGCACGCCCTCCTCTGGCAGCCCAGCCGAATGGCATGGCTCCAGCAGCCCAGCTGGAGCGTTTGTGCCAAGGCAGGAAGCCGGATTCCCACTCTACACTCCTGGCCCCTCTCCTGTGGGGTCCTGGTAGGGTCTTGAGCTCAGGCCTGGGCCCTCTTTTCCCTGAAGCCCAAGCAGAGCCAGGAGGTACCTTCACCTGCCCAGGGCCCTGTGGCCTGAGGCCCTGCAGAGGGCGCTTGCCCCCATGCCCTGCGGCCTGAGGCCCTGCAGAGGGCGCCCACCCCATGCCCTGCGGCCTGAGGCCCTGCAGAGGGCGCCCACCCCGTGTCCTGGGTCTCCATTCCTGGTTGGGGTGAAGCCTTTGGCAGAGGTTTCCCAGTCCTGGGCTCCATGATGCTTCTTCCAGTGATCCCTGCTGTCCCTACAGCACCTGCAGATCAACTGGACAGGCCTGACCAACCTGCTGGACGCACCGGGCATCAAGTGAGAACCTGGGGTGACTTGGGGGAAGCTGCAGCTGCAGCTGGGGCTGTGCTGGGAAAGAGCTCGGTGTGCACAGTGGGATCGCGAGGTGACAGCTGCACAGCCTTGGTGGGCGGGCCTGGAACACCCCCTTCCCCATCAGCACACACCCAGCATCACCCATTTACATACCACGACACATTGCAAGTGGGCAGTGCTTGGCTGTCCTGTGCAGGGCAGGGCGACTGAGCCCGTTATGGAGCCACCGTGTGAGCACGGACAGGTCACGGCCCTGTCTGGCTCTTCCTCACTAAGGTGCCTGGCTGCCCTGCCTTGGCCCACCGACATCCGGTGGTGCAGGTGGGCGTGTACGCTCCGGAGGGTGCTGCTTCACCCCACCTGAGTGTATGGTGAAGGGCAGGTGTCTCCCAGGACCACAGGCAGGGGTGGCTGTCACAGCAGGGGAGCCACCTTCCCAGAGCCGGCTGCGGTGCAGACGTGGGGGGACGTGTGTTCTGTGCTGCACGCTGGCTGGCTTGCCAGGTGCCAGGGTAGGGCCGCTCCTGCTCCCCACTCGGGATAAGGCATCCAGGCCTGAGCTGTTGCCTTGAGAGCCCACTGTGTGCCAGGTCTGAAAGGAGGTGTGGCAGTGGACGGGGGAGGCACCATGGGCTAGACGGCTGGCCTGTGTGTGGGGGGTGTCCCCCTTGTCTCCTGCCCTGCTGCCTGCCTGCCCAGCTAGGCTCTGGGTTCCATCCTGGGAACAGATGGAGGGGCAGGGGAGGGGTTGCACCACCATACACAGTGAGACTTGCCTGGTGTCGCAGCGAGGTCTCGGACAGCCTCCTGGAAGACCTCATCGCTGCCCACCTGGTGCTGCCCAACCGCGTGACGCTGCCTGTGAAGAAGGGGTTGGATGTGACCCACCTCCGCTTCCCTCTGCCCTGTGTGAGTACCCACCACCACAGGGTGCCAGGGCCAGTGTGGAGGGATGGACAGACAGGTTGGTGGTAAACCAAGCATGTGGTGTTGTGGTTAGGATGCTGCTTGGGGCTCCTGCATGCTGTGCAAGTCTCGGAGTTTGGGTCCTGGCTCTGCTTTTCACCCAGAGTGGCAGAGGTGAAGCTCAGCAGGTGGGCTTCTGTCCCAACTCCTCACATGGCCCCGGTTCCCACTTCCTGGTTTCAGCCTGGCCCCAGGCAGTGCTCCACTCCGGTCCCCTGCACATGCATCATGTGGCCTGGCTCACACTGGGGACCAGGGACAGCACCACCCTGACTGTGGAACTTGGGGCCTCCCACCAGCTGGGTGCTGGGACAAGTCTTGGTCCCCCTGGAACAGGACTCATGAGCAACGGATCCCATTGTCCTCCTTCCCTGCGCTGGCTCAGGAGCCCCAGAGGACGTCCTGTGACCCCCATGTGGAGGGGCCTGAAGTCCAGGCCCTGCGAGAAGGGGTTTTGCCTTGGTGTTGAGTGTGGGCTGCTCGGCTGGACTCCTGCTTCCGACACGAGTCCTGCCTTCAGGGCAGAGGCTGGCGCTGCCCCAGCCTGCGAGTGGGGATCTGGTGTTCCGCTCGTGTTTGTGTATGAACATATACACACAATGAGTTCAAGAGGAGGGCGTGCAGTAAGCCTCGTGCATGGCGCTTGTCCCAGTTCCTGTGCTGTGCGTTATTCACTTTACACAATTTCTTTTTTACTTTCATTTATTTGAAAGGCAGAGGGAGACTTCCAGTACTGGTTTATTCCCTGCATGCCTGCAGCAGCCAGGAACTCCACCCGGGGCTGCTAAGAGGGTAGCATGTCACCTCCGGGACACACAGCAGGAAGCCGAGGAGCCGGGGTGTGAACCGGGCACTCGCTGGTTCCCACCCCAAATGACTGCAGTGGCCACGGCTGGGCCGGCTGAAGCCGGGGCTCTATTCATGTCCCACATGGGCACAGCAGGCCAAGCACGTGGGCCCCTGCTGCTGTCTGAGCAGTAGTGGGGGGCTGGATCAGAAGTGGAGCAGCTGGGACTTGAACCAGAACTGATACTGGATGCCAGCGACACAGGTGGCAGCTTTACCCGTTATGCCACGCCCCTCCCCCATTTCCTTTTAGCAGCATCTGTAGGAGCCTGGGGCAAGGGCCCAGACTCTGGCAAAGCCCAGTGTGAGATGCAGCTTGGCCTGCACACAGGCTCAGGGTGGCATGGCTGTAGCTGAGAAGCCCTTCAGGGGACGGTGGAGGGAGGGAGTGTGGAAGGCAAGGACATGAGCAGGGCCTCCTGGCGCAGCGCAATGAGTCCTGGCCCTGCCAGGTCACTGCTGTCTCTTGCAGAGGGGGCAAGATGGGGCTGAGGCTCAGACACGGTGGGTCCTGGGTGCTGGCAGAGCCTCGGGCTGAGTGGGGGCATCTTCCAGGGAGTCATCAGGGTGCACTTGCTGGAGGCGGTGAAGCTAGTCGAGAAGGACAACTTCCTGGGGCTTGGGGGCAAGTCGGATCCCTACGCCAAGGTGAGCATTGGCCTGCAGCACTTCCGGAGCAGGACCGTCTACAGGAACCTGAACCCCACCTGGAACGAGGTGTTTGAGGTGAGCCCTAAGAACACACTGGGTCAGGGGAGTAGACCGCCAAGCTGGTGGGCAGCTGGTGGGAGCTGCCCTGGCCGGGTATGGGCAAGCCTCCAGGCGAGCGCCCGGCACCTTGCCCTGCCTGCTGCCTTTTGGGAAGTGAGAACCGTAGGTTCATACCTCTGGAAGGACCAAGGCCCATGCAGTCCTGCCCGTCCTTCCGGCTTGCCCTCGGCAAGCCCTGCACCAGCAGCCGAGCCCCTCCAGTTCAGCTGTGAAAGGGTGGGACATATCGCCTTGCCCCAGGCTCACTTCCTGGGCGATTTCCCAAGCTGCCCTCCCCCGAAGGATGCTCAGTGCTGACCACGGCAGCTAAGTGGGGGTGACAAAAGGCAGCTTCATGTTGTAGGGTCCACACTTGAGCAGCCATGACAATGCCACGACCACATGTGCTGGAAGGACCAAGGCCCAGCCACGGCCGCCGAGCACGCCCTCTGCTGGGAGCCTCTGAGCCTCCCTCACAACACCACCTGCCGGGAGAGCCACCCCTCGGCTTGGGCTCCCGGAGGCTGCCAGGGGTCCTGTGAAATGCCTCCGGGTCATGGTGCCTCTTCTCCCTTCCAGTTCATGGTGTACGAGGTCCCTGGACAGGACCTGGAGGTGGACTTGTATGATGAGGACCCCGACAGGGACGACTTCCTGGGCAGGTGAGCAGGGCGGGGTTGGAGAATGGACACGGTGACTGCCAGGCAGTCCTGTCCTGCCACCGCACACGCCTCCTGCGGGCAGACAGGACCCCAGGCTTGTGCGTCACACGTCCTGCTTGCGGCCTCCTGGGGAAGGACCCAGCGACCCCTTGTGGAGTAGTGGGCAAGGGAACCATGGGCAGAATCCAGGCCCTAAGGCAGCGAGCAGATCAGAATGGCCAGTTCATAGTGGAATTTAAGATGGCTGTGAATCTTAACTTCCCACTTGAGGAATCTCCTGCAACACAGGACACTGGTTCCTGAGCTGCTGCTTATGGTGGAAGTACCGTGAGCACCCAGCCTCCACGGACGCTGGCTGGCTGTACCGCTGCCACATTCTAGAATATTCTGGAGCTTTTGAGAATGAGTAGCTGGTGTGTGCGGCCCGGGAGGACACGTGCAGCGGAGGGTCGCTCTGCTAGCAGGGCAAGGTGTGGCCGGGGCGTGGGCACTGCAGCCCTCAAGGACTCACACTGTGGTCGGGCCTGTTTCCGTGAGCTCACAAGTCAGGAGAGCGGACAGGAGCGGCGTGGCAGGGCTGGGTGTGGCAGGGCTGCCAGCTGGCCTCCTGAGAAACTGCACATAGGCTCTTCTTCAGGACAAAAGCTGAGTGTTGTCCTGTTCGATTCCAAGTGGGGCCTGGCAGTCAAGGATTAAAAGGTGTCTGACTCGAGGTGTGCAGAATTTGAACACATTTCCAGCAGAATCCCACTCCCCGCCCAGCTGTGAGGCCCTCTGTGGGCTTGGTCAGGGTAGTTAGGGGCCGTGTGCATGTGCCAACTGCATCTACCCTTTGCAGGGCCTCTGGGCTGTTCTAGAAACAGGTTGTTAAAAGGCCAGGCACCTGTGACCTTCAGAAGGCAGGGACTGGAAGCCGAGTTCCAAGCGGGAATGCTGGGCCCTGTTATGCCTCTGCTAGTCCCCCAGGGATGGGGCAGCGTGCCTGGAAGGTTAGCTCTCGCCCCTGCATGTGGGCAGCACTGGGGCGTGGGCTGGCCCCTGGCCCTGCCTGGCTGCAGAGCTGTTTGGAGATGCCCTGGGCCCAGCAAGCACTCCTGTGTTGCAGCTTGCAGATATGCCTGGAGGACGTCCGGACCAACAGAGTGGTGGACGAGGTAGAAGTGGGGCCTGCTGGGGGGGGGGCTTCAAGGTCACTTCCCTCTCCTTGGCCAGCTCTGGCCAGTTGCCTCAGCCCAGCCCTATGCAATAGGCCCTGTAAACAGGCTGCAGATGCCTGTCCCCATGCTGGGCGAGGCACAGAACGGGACCAGGACGTCCCTCCTCCCCTGCACGAAGCTCCCTTGGGGACGTGCAGGCAGGCGGGGCCTGGGCTTGGCTGTGCCCAGTGCAGCCCTGCACACCACCCACAGGCCCTCTGGGCCTTTTCCATGTCCCTGGCTGGCTGCTCACAGTGGTTTGTCCTGAATGACACAACCAGCGGGCAGCTGCACCTGCGACTAGAGTGGCTTTCCCTGTGCACTGACCAGGAAGCTCTGACCAAGGTGAGTGAGGGCTCCCCAGCAGCGAGATGGGGCAGGGAGATCAAGTCCCTCCTGGGGAACGAGTCAGCCCCATCTCCCCCAGGGTAGCACCTGCTCTCCAGGCAGATGCTCTGGGAGCAACTAGGCCATCCTCGGGACGGCCAGGCACTTAGACATGTGGCCCAGAGCACCTGCTAGCCCAGCGCACAGGGGGACATTCACCTGACCTGGAGTGGGAGGGTTGGCTGGCTTCCTTGTGCCAGAGTTGCTCTCTCCCCGACCAATGTCTCGTCGGGTTGGGGCTGTGTGTCCGCAGGACCCTGGCGGTCTCTCCACTGCCATCCTCGCTGTCTTCCTGGAGAATGCTTGCAACCTGCCGGTGAGTGGCACCATGCCCAGGGTGGCACACAGCCCGCCTCCCCCATCACTTTTGGGGGTGGGCGTGTGAACCCCCGTTCTTGTGCTGCAGACAAACCCCTTTGACTACCTGAATGGTGAATACCGGGCCAGGAAGCTCTCCAGGTTTGCCAGGGTAGGTGTGCGAGTGGCCGAGCCCTTGGAGGGTGGGTCAGGGCCACCTTCCCCCAGAACAAGCCCGGCTCCACTCTGCCAGCCCCTGGTCTGTGCACACGTGGCTGGGCATGAGGGATGCTGTCCATGTGTCCACTGTGAGCCAGGCCTTGGGAACCAACACCCCACACACCTCACCCTCGGGCCCCAGGATCAGTGTTTTATTGCCATTTTATAAACTGACCCCAGAAGCCCGAGTGGCCGGTTCCCACAGCCTGCACCACTCAGGCCTCTCTAGGGGTAGTCCTACCTGGTGCTTGCAGGGTAAAGGTGGCCCAGGGGCCTGGGAGGACCTGGCCTAGCTGTTGCCCGAGGGTGGGGACGGGGCTCTTAAGCTGGTGGCAGCTCCTTGGTCACTATGACTTTGCCCGCTAGAACAAGGTCAGCAGAGAGCCGTCCTCCTACGTCAAAGTGTCTGTGGGGAAGACAACTTGCACGAGTAAGGTAAGGGGCAGGGATTAGCGGAGGGCCGAACTGGCAGCTTCAGTCCTCACAGGAACTTCCACAGTTGGTATAGTTCAAGATCAGTGGCACAGTCCCTCCCCGCAGCGCGCCTGTGGGCCCTGCTGCCTCCCCTGAAGGAAGCCCCAGTGCTAGCAGGGCTGTGGCACAGCACTGCCTGTCCCTCGAGTCACCCTGGCTGTGGCATGTCTGGGGCTGATCTTGGGTAGACCCAGATAAAGCTCCCTGCGGTGGCACCTGGCGGCCAGCTGGAGAGGGGTGAGCTCCAGTTCTGCCTCTATTCCCAGACCTGCCCCCACAGCAAGGACCCCGTGTGGAGCCAGGCATTCTCGTTCTTCGTGCGCGACGTGGCTGCTGAGCAGCTACATCTGAAGGTGCGTGCGTTTCCGAGCCAGGAGGGGCATGGGCTGCAGTGCTCCTGGACTGGGCCCACTGCCCTGGCAGCATCTGCTAGGAGTTAGCACAGGCTAAGTGGGGGCCTCCAGGGGTGGTGCTGGCACCTTCAGCTTGCTGTAGAGCAGCACAGCTCATCGCTCCTGAGGGCTCCACAGCTGGGGACATTGATGGCCTGGCCTCAGCCGGTCCGAACTGCCCCCGTTTGGACTCTGACTACAGGCTGGGACATGCCAATCTCCAGAAGAGTGCCCGTCTAGGGCAGGGGGCCTGGGCTGCAGGGGTGGGGCCTGGCAATGGCCCTGGTTGGGACTGGTTCCTGCCCAGGTGCTGGATGACGCCCAGGAGTGTGCACTCGGAGTGCTGGACATTCCCGTGTGCCAGGTCCTGCCCTACGCCGACCTCACGCTCGAGCAGCGCTTTCAGCTGGACCACTCGGGCCTGGACAGCCTCGTGTCCATGCGGCTGGTTCTGCGGGTGAGTGGCCCAGCCCCGGGGGCGGGGGGGGGCAGTGGAGCAGAGGGCACTGCCCGGGTCTAAGCAGGAGGCGGCCATTGCTTAGAGTACCTCAGCCATCCTCGAGTGTGGGCCTGTCCATGGTCTGCTAGCTAACCTGTCAGTTTTACCACGACGGCAGCTTCTCACCTTTGCCAAACTTACCCAGTTTTATTATCTTCCATCTTGAGTCTGCAGAAAACCCTTAATGTGTGCTTGTTAATTCTGTTACCTGGAGAGCTAAAAGTCAATGTTTATGCCTTGTAACGGGTTCCAAGCTCAGTCTCCCCTTGCGACCTAGCTGAGGCTGTCCTTTACCCAGTCCAGCACTTAGGGGACCCCAACCCCCCAGCTAGTGTAGATAACTCAAAATTCCTACGAGCAAAGCCTTCCAGGAACACTGCCTCACCCGTGCTCTGGCCGAGGCGTAGAGCCACCCTGCCACGGGTCTCCTCACAAAGCCCCCCATGTGCTCGGGCCTCCTGCAACGGGGATGGTCCAGTGACCCAGAGTGCTTCACTTTCACTGTTCAGGGTTTTCACCTTCCTCCACATCAAAAACCACCTTCCCTCTCTGGAATTTGGCTGTACAACAAGGACGCTGGTTGCCTTTTATTTCCTAACCAGGGCTTTTCTGGGGATCTGGACCACCCTGTATTTAAGTCTCCGAGACGGTGACTGAGGCGAGAGGAGGCAGCAGTGCCCTGGCTGGGGGTGAGGGGAGGGCGCAGCCATGGCCACCCTCTGATCTGCTTGCAGTTTCTGCGCATGGAGGAACGCGAGTCGGGCAGCCCGCGCACGGGACCCGAAGCCCTAAAGAAAGGCCCTCTGTTCGTCAAGAAGGTGGAGGCCGAGCACAGTCCTACAGCCCCCTGGCAGGAAGGCGGCCCTGCACGTCCGCCACAGGCCCTGGCCCCTGCCCCTCCTGGCACCAAGCACGTCCCCAGGATCCCCACTGCCACCAGCAATTCCAGTGCTGCCGCCACCCCGCCCGTCCCCCGAGGGCCCGCAGGCAAGGACGGTGCCAGAGGGGTCAGTGGGCCCACTGGGGAGAAGAGCTCAGCCACTACCTTCCTGACGGTCCCAGGCCCCCACTCTCCAGGGCCCATCAAGTCGCCCCGGCCCACGGAGCGCCCTGCCTCCCCATTCGTGTGGCCGCCCAAGCGTCTGGCTCCCAGCGTGGCCTCGCTCAGCTCCCTGGCCTCCTCCTGCTTTGACCTGGCCGGCAGCCTCAGTGCCGAGTACGCACCCTCTGCCTCACCTTCTCTAGAACCACTGCGTGAGCACGTCCCTGGCCGCAGGCGTGGACGCAGCATCCCCTCGCTGTCCACCAAGTTCTGCTTTGTCACGAGAGGTCTTCGTGAGAGCCCAGGACGGGGAGAGCCGCGGCAGCGCAGTGTGGCCAGGGTGGGGCGGCCCCGGGGCAGGAAGGCTGTCTGAAGGCTAGTTTACTGGGATGACAGGGAAAGCTTTAAATGCGGAATCCCACGACCAGAGCTCACCACTTGGCATTTACCGTGGGCTCCGCATGCTGTCTACTGGAATCCCACAGGCTAGGACTGCAGAAAGCTACCCAGGGCCCCCGAGGTCACACTTAGAAAAGGCTCAGTCCCCTGCAGTGCCCACTCTGCCCGTTGTGGGGAGTGCGTGCTGTGTCCCTCGAGGAGGACATGCTTCTCTGGGCAGTGGGGTGAGGGCTGACACTCAATACCAAAGCCAACAGCGTCTGTCCCTCCAGAGGCGAGGACGGCAGCCGGCGGCTGGGCGAGGTCCAGCTCACAGTGCGTTACGTGTGTCTGAGGCGCTGCCTCCGTGTGCTGGTCAACGGCTGCAGGTGAGGCGGGGTGCTGGGAGCCCCAAGGCAGCACGAGACGTGAGGGCCACACGGGGCAAGGTCCTCAGAGGGCCCCAGGCTCAGAACAGGCACTGCAGCCACCACCTCTTTCCAGGTGGCAATGCCCAACTTCAAAACCCCAGAGTTCCTCGTCTTTGGCATCTAGACTGAGTTCCTCCAGCCCACCTGAGGCCAAACGCTGACCCACTTCCTCCCACAGCAGTAGTGGCAGTATCAGAAAGCCAAGATCCCCTCTCTCCCTCCACAGAAACCTGACACCATGCACCAGCAGCGGGGCTGACCCCTACGTCCGCGTCTACCTGCTGCCAGAAAGGAGGTGGGCGAGCCGGAGGAAGACCTCGGTGAAGCGCAAAACCCTGGAGCCCCTGTTCGACGAGACGTAAGTGTGCACTGGCCCTTCCGTACTGTCTGAGCACCTGCTGGGGGACGGAAGGGGCGGACCACAACTCATCTCCAGCTGCAGAAAGGACCGCCCGGGCAGCACAGAGGCCAGCCACGTGGCTGAACTGTTCCCGATCACGTGCCGAGGCAGTCTGCCTCAAGCATCCTGAACCTGAGGACCCAGTACCCCAGTTCCAAGCATTCTGGCCGTTCTCCTCGAGTGAAGCACAGGGGCAGGTGCCCTTCCCCACCTGTGTCCTTGGGAGGAGACTGCTAGCCCAATCACAGCAGGGCAGACTCGGCCCCTTCCCACCCCGACAGGAAACCTGCCCGGGGCTGCATGACGAAGCCGAGACGCCACTGCCCTCCTCCAAGGCGGGCACTCGTTGGCTGCTCAGTTTCTATGGCAAGTGGCGCTCACAGTGAGGGCAAGTGGCCCAGCCCCCAGAGCAGCTCTTGGCACAGCCGGGGGCTGGGCACTGGAGCACGGCTGATCTGTCACCACACCGAGTCCCTCCGAGTCGGCACTGTTCTAGTGGGAAACGAGAACACCGTACTTTCTCAGCAAAACTAAAGATGTGAGACTCACTTCCTCAATATTTCCTTCTTAAAGATTTGAATACTTTGTTCCTTTGGAAGAAGTCAAGACGAGGTCACTAGATGTGGCAGTGAAAAACAGCAGGCCGCTTGGCTCCCACAGAAGGAAGGAGCTAGGCAAGGTGAGTGGGGCAGCCCGGGCCTCTGGAGGTCACTGACCTCTCCCGCACACAGGGCCTCCCCGCACACAGGGCGGCCGAGTTCCCGTTCTGAAGTCCCTCCCGGGGTTGCTGCTTTATCTGAAAGCAGACAGGTCCCATCTGCTGGCTTACTCCCCAAACGCTGAAGTAACCCATGTTGGGCCTAAAGTCCGAGACCACAGCCTCACATTGGGGTCTCCCTTCGGGTGGCAGAGATCCTGTCCTGGCCACTGCAGCACGTGGCCACCTGCGATTTAAAGAGAACCTTTTTAAACAAGACTCCAGGTTTAGCCTTGCGCAGCCCTGAGCTACCCGTGGTGTTACATGCTGAGTAATGCGTGTCAGAAAGCCTGGGACTCACTGCATCGAATTTTACCAAGGCAGAAGTGGGGTGACAGACGCCCCGGGAGGTGCTGGGGAAGCAAGGGAACACGCGCTGCGATCTCCCCGAGACAGGAAACTTTCCTCAGCTGTAAAAGGGGGGATAACTAACATTCACATCTAAGCTTCCAAAGGCACCGAGTCAGTGCCCCGAGCAGCACCGGCCCTGCCACGGTCAGCTCAGGTCACCCGGTGTGGCCACTGACCCCGTGTCATCGTTCAGGTACTGATCGACTTGTCAAAAGGAGACCTGATCCAAGGCTTTTGCCAATGGTAAGCCTGCCCTTTTCATTTTATCACTGTCAGTCTGGGAATCCAGACGGCTCAGCTCTCTAACTTCCTTCCCAAACTCTTCCAGCTCTTCCACTTACCCAGATTGGAGACACATGCCTTTAGAGCTTTCCTAGCTGCGGCTCGCTCACTTAGCCCAAGGAGCCCCACGGGGCCTGGCAGCTTGCCCGCCTGCCACAAACCGCTGTCTGCCTAACCGAGCCACCTCCCGCTGTCTTACAGGTATGAGCTGACTCCTGACGGCCAGCCCAGAAGCTGAGGAGCAGTGCTGCCATGGCCATGGTCAACTGTGCATATCGTCATTTAAATCAGGACAGTCATCTGATGGGACACTTGGCTCCTTAGCTGTCCCTCTTCCCGAGACCGTCAGTTATGTGAAGGAAGAACTACTTTTTCCTGATTAGTCTGTCCAAATCCAGACAAAGGGGTGTCCAGGACTTCATCACACTGCAGCGACTCTCACCGTGTGCCACGGGCCTGAGGGAGAGCCCAGCACTTCAGGCAGTTACCGACTCCAATCCCAGAGCCCTCGTCCAGTCGGAGCGATGTCTGCCAAGAGGCCTAGAAACTTCCTGTGGGAGCAGTGGGGACGCGGAGCCGCTGCGAGCGAGGAAGGGGGCGCCTGTGGCCGAGACCAGCCTGGGAATCCCGCACCACTGTAAACAGGAACAGCAAGGCAGCCATATTGTGTCAGAAAACTCTTTTTACACATTTGGATTTGCTGGCCCCCGGTTCCTGGAGGTGCTGTCGGGGCCACACCCCTGCCGCAGGCTCCCGCCAGCGCCTGCCTCCACTGCCACTTTTCTCAAGAAGGGCAACACTCAAAGGCCGTTTGTGTCATAGCACTCTCAAGTGCCCTGGGATGTTTATTTTGCACAAAGTCAAACCCTGCTCCTTATTTGCCTGTTAGTCCTAAAACAATCTGCTCTTTTTCGTACTGGAGCTGCTTTCCTGTCAGTGCAGGAGACAGATGCGCCCCCACCCCGGTGCTGCGGCCTGGGTGCATGTGTGGCTGAGGTCCTGCAGCCCGTGGTCACTTACATCCTGCAGTGCTGCCTTTCATCTCAGTGTCTGTCTGGACTGACATTCTCATAATAAAATGGGGCATCTGGATGCCCAGCTTGACTACCTCACATCATGGTAACTTCCTCTGGCTTAAATCTTCACATTTTCAAGGCCCTTGACCCCACGGAAGGCACGTATCACTCTGGCGTAAATGTTAGCAACCACGAAGCAACTACTGATGTAATGGCAGACGCCGAGCAGACGTGTGGGACCAGGAATGCTGAAACCCGCTACCTAAGCGGAAACACATTCTACAATTACCATGACTGCACACGCACGAGCCAAAGCGGTCTCGAGCAAGAATAGCCAGAAGCCTCCACAACCCGATTTCAAGCTAAATTCAAGGTCATCGGAACAGAACGGTACCAACAGCACACTGCAACAGAAACTAAATCCACACGCTCAGACTCCTCACTGGCACAGGTGCCAGGAGGCCGCGCTGGACAAAGCCGTGTCGCCAATAAGATGGGCAACTGGCCTAGCTGCATCCAGACCCCCGAAGCCCTTACTGCCCACAAAACACTCACTCCAACTCAGGGTGGACAAGAAGGCCAAGTGTAAAATCAAATACTTCAATAAGAGGAGACCCTTACCAGCACCAGAACGGGCAAGGGTCTTTCGGTAGGACCCAAAGTACAAAAAAAAAAAAAAAAAAATTAAGCTAAAAAGCTTCCATATGGCGTAAGTAGTAAATAACCTGGGCCCAGCACGATAGCCTAGCAGCTGAAGTCCTCACCTTGAACATGCCAGGATCCCATATGAGTGCAGGTTCTTATCCCAGCAGCCCCGCTTCCCATCCAGCTCCCTGCTTGTGGCCTGGGAAAGCAGTCCAGGACAGCCCAAAGCCTTGGGACCCTGCACCCATGTGGGAGATCCTGAAGAGGTTCCTGGCTCCAGATCGGCTCAGCTCCAGCCATTGTGGTCACTTGGGGACTGAATCATCAGACGGAAGATCTCTCTGTCTCTCCTCCTCTCTATATATCTGACTTTGCGATAAAAATAAATCTATTTTTTTTATAGATAACCTATAGAAAAGGAGAAAATATCTCCAAGTACCATGGCAAGGGATTAGCATCCGCAGTGCACCGAAGAAACTAAGCAGGCAAAGTGGGTGAAAGCAGCACAGCCAGCCGTCAGTGAGGGAAAGCAGGCCCACCGGCCATCAGAGCTGGAGCTTGGGACCCTGAGCCCCTGAGAAAAGCTGTACAGGACGAGGGGACTCCTCACACATTAGCAAGCCACTGCTGAAGACAGGGCAGCACTTTCTCAAAGGCTAAAAATCATTACCCGGTCTATATCCAAAAATAGTAAAACTAAACCAAACATAAAGCGCCTTGGCCTGTGTCCAGAGGAGAACGGCTCCCCGTGCTCAAGGGGCACGGGCGCTTCGGGCATGCAGCCCTGCTCACAGCTCCAAGGAACGGAAGTAGCCGCGTGCCTAGCAACGGATGCGAGTGCGGCATATGCACTGGGATACTATTCAGCTTTAAAAAAACTTATTTGTGACAACATAAATGCAAACCACAGGTCATCACTGTCAAGGGCAGCAGTCCAGGCAGCACGTCCTGACCTCAAGTGTGGAATCTTGTGGTTGCTGAAAGGACAGCGGTTGCCGGAGCCTGGAGTGAAGGGAAGGACGGACAGGACAGGCTCACCAGGGGACACTAAATTACACAGAAGTAGAGGTGGTACACATTGCTTATCGGCTCCTAGAAACAATGCATGACATATTTCCCAAAGCCACACTAAGGGACTGAGCATTTCCACTATAAGGAAATGATGTGCGGCTCATAATTTTTTTTCTATCAATTAAAGATAGCCTTAAAAAACAGGGTAAAGTAGCGAACCAACGCAGTGTAAAGGAGTGTAAGTGTTGGGAGCCGGAATTCCAGCAGGCCTCAAGGGGCAAGGGCCACGGGCAGTCATCAGGACACGCTGGCGTCGGCACCTGCTGAGGACACTCCGCCTCCCAGGCGCACACCAACACGATGCAGAAACCCACACAAGAAAACCATGTGCACACGGCTTAGAGCCTGGGCACCCGCGGAGGCGTCCTTGCTGGGACTCCGTGCAGGGCCCCGGGCCCACTGCGGCAGCCCACTGCGCTGCAGGGAGGCCCTCCCACAGAGCAGAGGAACCCCGAAGTTCATGCTTCACAAAACCTAAGGCTTCCTGAGGGTTCGAGAACTAAAGGGCAAGTACTGACAGCTGTGAAGGGGCAGCTGGCTTGGGTCAGTCCTTGCCTGGGAAGCGACTTTACAACTTACACCAAGTGTAAGTCCGCATCAGGAGGACACTTCTCTGGCCAGTGGGCTCCTGCTGTCAGAGGGTGGTGGGAACACAAGGCCACAGCAGGGAGGACCGCAAGGCCACAGCAGGGAGGACCGCAGGCCTCAGCAGGGAGGACCGCAAGGCCACAGCAGGGAGGACCAGGCCACAGCAGGGAGGACCGCAAGGCCACAGCAGGGAGGACCGCAAGGCCTCAGCAGGGAGGACCGCAAGGCCTCAGCAGGGAGAATGGGCATTTCCTCTGCCGACGAGCAGCTCTCCACCTCAGCAGACTGGCTGGCGGAGCCGTTCTCACTCACCTAGGCACCCTGCATTTGCCCTTGGCCAAGCCCCCAGGCTCTGCCCACAGCCATGGCCTTCCTGGGTCAGCCCACATATTCTTGCAATTTTCCAAGTCTCTCCCCAGGCCCCGTTGGCCTCACGGAGACACACTGCCCCGAGTCTAAGACCCTTTCTTTTTCACTCTCCCTCAGTGCACCACTGGCCTAACTAACAAAAATGACAGCAAGAAAGGAAGAAGATCTAAAGTAATAAAATCAGCAAGGAAAAGGAAATGTAGCAACAAAGAGCACAGATATACAAAGAATCACCAGGACTTGCTACAAACAGCTCAACACCAAAAAACTAGAAAATTCAGAAGAAAGATTTCCGGACACATAAAATCCACCAAAACTTGGTCCCGAGAACATCAAAGCTCTAAACAGGCCAATAATCAGATGCAGATTACATCAGGAATAAAGACTCTCCCAGTGCAGAAAAGCCCAGGAGCGGAGGGCTTCACTGCCGCGTTCTGCCACAGCTTTCAAGAACGAATCCCAGTCCGTCAGTCTATTCACAGCAACAGAAAGGTGACCCTTCTTACGAGGTCCACGTCACCTTAATTCCAAAGCCAGAAAAAAATATCACAAAGAGAACCAACATCCCCAGTGAATGCAGATGCAGAAATCCTCAACAGGGCGTCGCCCCCACCCTGGCACGCCGGAGTGCTCGCCCACCTGGAGGCAGGGCATCCCCCCTGGCATGCTGGAGAGCTCGCCCACCTGGAGGCAGAGCGTAGCGCCCCCCGGCCCCGCCCCGGCACTCAAGCAAGGTTCAGCGCACACATCAGTAAATGCGACACGTCCCCGGAACGAGCTCAGAACAGAAACCACATGCTGTCTCAAGAGGGCGAAAACATCTGATAAGATTCAACACTCTTCCATGCAAAAAAACCCACAAAACACCTTAGTCCAACTGGCATAAAAGCATCATTCCTCAGCACAGCCACGCAGTCTCCGAGGACCCAGTGCTGGCATCATACTGAACGGGGAAAAGTCAGAACCAGAGCAGGAGGCTCGCTCTTTCCTGCTGTTCTGTAAGCGTTAGCCAGCTCTGTTAGACCAGAACAAGTCAAAGGGACACGCGTCGGAGAAGAGCAAGGCACGCGATCACTGTGCGGATGGCATGATTACAGAGAGGAAGGGACAGACGGACAGAGTGCCCGAGACTGCAAAATAGAACGTCAACACTTAACATCGCTGGCCTTTACACAGACAATTCCATGGCTGGAAAGCAACTTGTAACCTCAGTCCCACTCACAATAGTGACAAAAAAACCAACCCACAAACCCCTAAAATGTCTTTGAAATAAAGTTAACCAAGGATGTGGGGAATCTGACAAAAGCTACAGAAGGTTAAACAGGAGATGACACCAAGACATGTTCATAGCTTGGTAGAATTATCAAAATGTCCATATTACTGAAAATAACTTAGTGATTTAATGTGATTTCCATAAAAATTCCTATGACGATCTTCTGAAATCTAGAAAAAAATTATGCTAAAATTCATATGGAAACACAAGACACCCAGAATAGCTAAAGCAACCTTAAACAACAACGAGGAGCCAGAGGTAGGACAGTATCAGACTTCAAGACACACTACAAGGCACCTGCAATCAAAACAGC